TACAAAAATTTTTGTATGATAAAATATTTTTTGAAATATTACAATTTATAAAACCATCTGTAACTAAACTGTCTTCTACTTGTCCTACAATTAAAATTTCTTATGAATGAATAAATATATATTAATTTTAATATAATAAAATAAAAATTTTTATTACCTATTACTTTTCCTTGACAAGCTTGTATAATAACTATTTTAATAACATCTTTTAATTCTATATTGCAAAATTTATACTCAATTTCTTCAGTTTTAACTTCTTTTTCATCTGCACTAATAATACCACCTAAGATATTCAAAAAATTATATGATATATGTAAATACTTATACATATGAAATACTTATAATATTTATAGTTTATATATATTATAATTATATATAATTATTAAAATAATTAGTATAATTTTACCTTCATATCCATGACTTAAGATACATACAAAAATACAATCATAATCAATGCCAAAAATTTTTGGAATATCTTCTAACGTTTTAAGTATTTCATCTTTTTTTAAATTATTAAATTCTTTAGTAATAAAATCAAAACCTTTAAATGTTTCTAATAATTTTATGCAATCAGTTTCTGTTCCAAATCTAGTTTCATACTGAAACAAAAATATTATATATATAAAATAAATTATATACATAATTCATATATAATTTATATTAAAATAAAATTTATATATTGATATTAATGTAAATACCTTTTCTCCCTTAAAAAACATTTGATTTATAATAATACATAAACCTTTTTTTATTTTTCTTATATTTTCCTCATTATTTGATGAAATAATTTTATGTTCTTTTATAAAAAATGTTTGTAATTGAGATGTATTAATAGAACTAATATGTTGAATACCTAATACATCTCGATGATTTTTATGGTTTTTCAAATCATCATAAATGAATTCTAAATCTTCAATTTTCTTCAAATGTTTCAACAAATTTTCAAGCTTTACTGTACCATCTAATATAATTAAAAATTATATAACAAAATTAATAATTAAAAATTATATAATAAAACAAAAACTTATATAAAATTACAAAAACAAAAAATAAATATTATAATATTGCTACAAATTATAAAAAACAAACCTAAATGTATTGAAATATAATTTTCTTGCATCCAATATAATATATGTAATTCAAGAAAATCTGAATCTTTTAAATTTATTTTATATTCAATATCAGTTTTGACATATTGTAATAATAATTCTATTTTATCTTCAGAAAGAGTTTCACATAACAAATATAAGCATTTTGCAGTTAAATTCACATATCTAGAAAATGATCTATTTTTTGGTAAATAAAATAAATTTAAATATTTAAAAGATAATCCTAATTTTCGTATAATTTGCAAATTTTGTATAATACATATAGCTTCTAATAATTTATTTTTCCAATTCTGAGGATATTTATTTATAAATTCTGTAAGTATATAAGTTTTATTTTCTTGATACATTTTTAATAAATCATAAATTATTTTAAAACTATACTCATAATCAGTTATCATCAAAAACAAAATAGATATTTTCTCATCAATATCAAAATCATTTTCTATTTTCCATAAGATATCTTTGTTTAATATTTCTTTGCTTATATCATTATTTAAAGCAAGATTTGGCAAAGCATCAATTGATAACATTGTTCCTTATAAATTTCTACAAATAAATTCTAAAAATAAGAAAATAAAATATTAATAATAATATTATCATTATATATAATATAAATAATATTATTATTAATAATAATTAATAAATAATATTAATATAAATAAATCATAATTTAACAACAAATAAATATAATATATTATTATTTATAAAAATAATACTTACTTTGTATAATATTCCTATGTACAATTTTATTGAAATATTTATATGATTTTTATTTTTTTATTTTACATAAAATACATGTTTTTATATAATATATAACAAATATATATAATAATATAATATAAGATATTTTTGTATATTCTTATTCATATATCAATATATGAATATTATATCATGACATCTTATTTTTTTATTTATTAATATTTATAAAAATTCTTATCTTCAAATCTATTGTAATAAAATAGTTGATCAAATAGGTTTTTTTCATCATTCACTAATAAGTAAAACTATTTGAGCATATTTTTTTATTCGATTTGATATTAAATTCAATATTATTATTTAAAATAAGTTATACATACAATTACATAAAAATATCGCATCGCATATATTCTGCGTAGATATGGGGATCTTCAAATCCCTACCAATAATCTCAATCTATTCTTCTCATATCATTTTATTACATTTTTATATTTTCTATACTGGCTACATTTTTTTATTTTTAACAATATATTTTTCAGTAAATAAATAATTATATATTATAATATTAAATGTATCATGAGATTTTTTAAAACTATTTAATTTGAATTTAATTTTATGTGCTGGTATTTTTATTTTCTAAATGTAAAATAAATAAAAATTCGAATAAAAATTCGCCATATAATTTTTAAAAATCTTTAAAAATATAAAATTTTATAAATAATTTTGTAATTACTGAATTTTGATTCTTAAATTCGTTGTTTTCAAATTCTACATGTAAAAATAAAAAAAATATAAAAAATTATAGTGTCTTGAATTATTTCTGTATCATTTCCATTGAAATTAAATTTATTCACTAAAAAATTTATAGTGAATTAACTAAATTACTATATGTTTAATTACTAGGATTTACAAATCGGCAACGTTGCTCCTACAAATATCTGACAAAATTTCTGATGAAATATAATTAACGTTTTTATAAAAAAATTGTTATAAATATAGACATAATTTTTAGTAAGTAAAAATTACATGTAAATGTTTTAATTTGTGTGAATTGTGTATTCTTGTTCTTAAAAAAGTTTACACTTTAATTTATATTTAAACTATTTAATTTATATTAATTTTAACCAAATAATAAAATAAAATGACTGATTCTAATAATAATAATAAAAAAATGACTGATTCTAAATAAAATTGTAATTTTTAAAAATAGATAAAAATATGAAATTAATATTATAAATATAAAATTTTAACATTGATTCTAATAAAAATAGAAATATTTAATACGAAATCTTTTTTATTAATAATCATCCTTATCCAAAAGGTTACAAACAGTTTTTAAAAAAAATTTAGTTATATTTTTGAAATGTCTTGAAAATAAGAAAATAAATATATTTTTTTTTAATTTTCTGAAGATTTAATCTAATAAAATATTAAGAAAAAGCCATTTTTAAAAATAAATAGTTTAAAGTTTTTAATTATATTTCTGGTTAAATATAAATTTATCTTATATAATTACTATAATTAATAATAATAATTAATATATTTAATTTTTAATATATTTACATAATTATTAATATATTTACATAATTTTTGAATTTTTTATTATTAGATTAAAATTATTATTTCTATTTCTTTTAATTAAATACTTCTATTATATACCTACATATCTTATAAAATATTTCTATTATATAGCAGTCGTAGTTTAATTGATAAAATGTTAGTTGGTACGATTTTTATTTTATTTTATTATTATCTATTTGAATGTTACTTAAAAAAATTTTTTTTTTCTTATTTTTTCTATGTTTTTCTAAATACACTCATAATCTATTATTTATAAATTATTATATTTTATTATTATATTTATATTACGATTATGCCATTATTATCATTTATTATTACCATTAATAACATATTACGATAAACAAATATTTTATAAAATCGCGGGAATATATAATACTAACTAGGTTATGTTTATATCGAAACTGGACTTTCTTATTGTTACCAGATTTATGTTCAACACAGCTTATACTTAGAGTCGGTTGCGGTCAAGTACGTTCTACTAAACAGGTGCTTTGACGTCACGTCATCGTATTTGTGAGTTGTAGATTTACTTCGAAATTAAATTAATTTCAAATTAAAGATCATGTCTAAAAGTAAGCATCATCAAGTCGATAGCAATATTGTAGCAGTAAAGAGTAAAGTAAGTTTCTTTTTAATGTCGAAGTTCTTATTTTTTTGCTATTATTATTAAATAGAAATAATATTATGTAGTAAGATTTAAGTATTTTTTCTTTCTTTCTTTCTTTGTATTATTTATTAAATTTTTTTATATATAGATAATTTCAATTTCTTTTTTATAGTTTGATGCAGATATAATAAGATTTTCAGTCAATCGTAATGATACAATTAATTATGAGGATTTTAGAAAGTTATTAGCTGAACGACATGATATTGGTCCTGATTTAAGTTTTTTAATATGGTATACTGATCCAACTGATGGTGATTTATTACCAATTAACAATGATAATAATTTAGCAAGAGCATTACTTGCTGCAAAACCATTACTTAGAATTTTTATTCAAAGAATAAAGGGTAAGATGGTTTTATATTAAATAATTATAAAATATAAATTTATATGTGAGAAATATACATCTATCAATATTTATTTTAAAATATAGAAAAAAAAAATTTTTAATAAAAGAAAAAATCCACTTTATGATAATAGAGAATGTATCTATTGTTTATCTTTTTATTATTATTAAGTAATATTATTAATATTGTTATTAAATTTAATATTTTATATCTTAGTATTGATAGTATACTTATAACTTATATAAAAATAAGCTATTTTGTATATAATAGGAGATGGATTAGAAGATATAAATGGATATGGAACAATAAAACCAAAAAATTTAATATCAAGTATTCTTGGTGGTACACCTGGCAAACCAAAATCATTAGCTATATCTAATCCTCATGATTTTAGGCAGGTAAGTTTATTTATTATATAAATACAAATTATATTATTAAGATAAATATAATTATATATATTATTTAAAATATAAAATACAAATTTTATTGACAATATAATAGGTATCAGCAATAATTGATGTAGATATATTGCCAGAAACTTGTCGTCGGGTGCGTTTATTAAAACATGGTTCTGATAAGCCATTAGGATTTTATATTAAAGATGGAGAAAGTTTTCGAATATTGCCACCATCTGCTGGAGGTGGTATTGAAAAAGTTCCAGGTGTATTTATAAGTAGATTAGTACCAGGTGGTTTAGCTGAAAGTACAGGACTTCTGGCAGTAAATGATGAAGTTCTTGAAGTAAATGGTATAGAGGTTGCTGGAAAAACTCTAGATCAAGTATGTAATATGATATTTATTATTTTATTTACATTTTTTATTTACATATATATATATATATATAAATATATATATACATATATACATACATACATATATATATGTATATTAAATAGGTGACAGATATGATGATTGCCAATTCTTCGAATCTCATAATCACAGTGAAACCAGCAAATCAACGAGCAGCATTAGCTGCTCCAAGACGAGGATCATTTTCACGTAATAGTCAATTGTCCTCTGGAAGTCATCAGTCTACGCAAAGTGCTGCCACTGGTAGTGATGAAGATGCAGATGAAATTGTAGACTTAACAGGTGTAACATTACAAGATGATGCAGCAACATCTACTTCTACTGCTCAACATCATCATTTTCATCATCATCATCATCATCAAAATCATTTTGATCAAGGTGTTTTACATTTATAAGTAAAAAATGTAAAATTTTACTTTTTACATTACATCATACTCGTTAAATATTAATTCAAATATTCATTTACAAACAAAAAGTATAGAAACATGAAAATATAACATGACAATAAGAGATAAAGTAATGAAATAAATGAAGCATTATAAGTTTGATAGCTACATTTTACATAACTAAATAATAATTTAATTCATTTAAATAAAGAAATTAATATAAAATTTACATGAAATGAATATTTTAAAAAAATTCATTATTTTTTTTTAATTTAATATATTTTTCATTAAACTTATTCTTTAATATTACAAATTAATTTAAATCATTATTATGAAAAAATTTTTAATATATATTTTTTAAATTGAAATATGTTTCATATACAAAATAGATTGATATGAAAGAGAAATAAAATGAAAAATTATTTTATAGATTAGAGTTAAATTTTTTTAAATAAAATTTATATAATAATTCGTATATCTTATTTTAATATTTTTTGTAAATTAATATAAATATTATATATAAAAAGTATTAAAACAATAAATTTATTTGAACAAAAATAAAACATGATATGATAAATAGAAAGTAGAATATTAAAATTAGAAAATAAATTATTCATGTTATACTTTTAATCAAAAACAAAACATTTTAAAAATGAAAACTTTTTAATCTTTTTATATGAAATATTTAAACAAATTATATATTTTTCAATAATTCTTTTATTATATTCTTTTATTATTATATTTTATATATATTCAGTATCAAAATATTCATATCAGTTTTCAAAATAGATTAATCA